TTCTGCCTCAAATTCCCCCAGCTGTAAGCCTCCCAACCTTCTAAACATTCCTTTATATGTGGTTCAGAGTTCTGGGACCATCCCCTGAGCCTGCTTGGTCGGGTATTCTGTGTTGTTGCTGGTGGAGCTCTGTAGTGCAATTCCACCCGATCCGCTATCATGTTTGTTCGCCTCAGGATCTTTGTTTTTTATGTAAACATTTATTGCTGTAAGTTTCACTCTGAGTCCTATGTTTGCTGTGTTCTCTGGTTATTGCCTGCTACCTTCCTTTCTGTCTCTGCCATAATGTTTTTAGTCAGAAAATCTCCACCCAGTTAGCCTTCTTGAGGGCGGGCCATTCCCCTCTGGGTTTGCCTGAGATTTCCTTCCCTGCTGTATGTTGCTGTTAAATGCTGTGGGGTCAGTTCTGACTCATAGAAACCTGTATAGTGTTTCCAAGGAGCAGCCGCTGGGTATGAACAGCTGACCTTGTGGTTAGCAGTCTAGTGCTTATCCAACAGCGCTGCCCCAGGATTTCCTGCTTTATGGGGTCTACTTATATGTGATATGGCATTCAAGGGAAGCATGGGCAGATTTTCTTCCGTTTCAGGAGGAGGAGGGACTGGCACTCCTCCAAAGGACCTCTGAGAGATTTGTCTTGTTTTCGTTTCATGCCTTAGTGGCCCTGGTTGGAGATACAGTCTTTACTTCAGTAACCTCCCTCCTCCTGGCTCCATGGTAGGCAACCTTCTGTAGGAGTTTGTATCAGTTCAGCTGCCAACAGTTACCAATTGTAGGAGTGGTACTGAACAGACACCACTGTCGCTGTTAGATCCTGCCCAGTACTCTATTGGCTGTAGTTATAGCTTCCACTCAAGATGCCGGTTTCCTACTACACAGCAACCTCAGTTAGCATCAACTGGAAAGGGGAGCAGTCAGATGTAAAATGATCCTCAGGAAGATCTGTCCTCTTGGCTTCAGAGGCCTGAGCTATGGGATGATTGACTATGCGAGCAGATTCCACTGTGGAACCTTCTGTATCAGTTTGCAACAGTTGTCAGGTGGTGTAGGGGGTATCACTCTGGTCAGAGCCTCATGGAGTTTTACCTTGTTACTATCAGATTCCCCCTCCTGTAGACTGTTGGCTGTGAGTGTAGTTTCCTAACTCACAGCAGCCTCAGTCAGCAGTCCTCAGCACCAACTAGAAGTAGGGGTTTTTGTTGTTTTTGTTAAGTGCTGTTGAGTCGATCCTGATCCATAGTGACCCTGTCTGTATAGGGTTTCCAAGGAGCAGCTGTGGTGAGCTTGAACTGCTGACCTTGCAGTTCAAATGGCTTTGCAGTCAGGTGCATTAACTCACAGCACCACACCGGGACTCCAGAAGTAGGGGTAGATTAACTGAAATTGACCTTGAGGAAGGTCAGCTACAGAAAGCACTGGGAGGCAGGTAGAGTACTGACTTTGGAAGCTGTCTTCATTGCAGGGCCCTTCATAGCAGATTTGCTAGTGACAGAGTCCAGGTGGGGAAGGGCTTGGCATGCTCCAATCAGACCTCCAGGGAGATCTGTCTTGTTGCTATTAGAGCCTCTCCTTTAGTACGCTGTGTCTAGTAGGCATCTAGTATGCCTCCACTAGATAGATGCCTGCTTCCTAGCACAGAGCAGCCTCAGTCAGCAGTCCTCAGCACTGACTGAATGGAGGAACAGACAAATCAGAACTGACTCCCTGGGTGATCTGTACTATTGTTTTTAGAGGCCTGATAATGAAGGGGTACACAGGAAGGCAGGTGGAATGTTGACTTTGAAAGCAGACTCTACCGCATGTCTTTCTGTGCCGATTCTCAGTAGGCTTACAGCTGACTGTCTAGGTAGGGAGGTGCTGGTGTATTCTAAATGGATGTCTGCTTTGTCAATTTTAGGGTAGGAGCTTGAGGTTCTTTTCTTTGTACAGGCAGGGGTGTGGTGATTAGGGAAGAAGGCTCTTCTGAGATCACTAAGCCAGTTCTCAGTAGCCAGTAACCTATGTGACTGTGGTGGGGCACGGGCAGTAGAAGAGCAGTTTTCTTACTGTATGTGACTTGCTGATTTGTAGATTCTTGCCTGTCTGCATTTCTCCAGTGTTTTCCTCCGCTCCTCCTTTCAGAGTCCCTCAAAGTCAAATACTATTTCCTTGTATGTCTTGTTGTATTGGGGGAAGAAGGGGGAAGGCTTCAAAAGTTCATGGAAAAATGGAATGAAAAGATAGTGGATTTTTTTCACAAATATTTTGAAACCCCCTCACATTTGTGAGGGAGCATCCAACAATGGTTTGTTTATGCTGTCATCTTTCCGGAATTTATGTTTCATTTTCACCAGCTAAATTATTATTTGTACTTACATATGTGTATGTGTGAAATCTATTCCCTTCAATTTTTTTTTCTGTAAGTTTTACCCATATATTTCTCTGATCCTATCAACCTACTGGAGTCTTGGTGTGGTGCTGTGGGCTAATGTGTCAGACTGCAAAGTCATTTGAATTACAAGTTCGATGATTTAAGCTCACCAGCTGCTCCTTGGAAACCCTATATGGGGTCCCTTTGGGTCGGAATAGACTCAATGACACTTCACAACAACAACATCAACCTACTGCATTATAGGGAACAATCTTCTTTGTTATTATCGAGGTTCATTGTGGCTTTTGTCCTTTATCTATTTAGTCTCAGAATGATTTCTGTATGCAGTAGATTAACTGAAAGTTGTGTAATATTTAAAGACACATTCCAGAAGCACAGTTTAAGGAAAAATCTCACCTTTAATTTTATTAATTGAATTTCAAAAATCTATTCATAGACCCAGCCAGAATTGCTGATCATTTTGATGAGCAGTATAAGTATCCTATAGAGATCTCTAAAGAGCTATAGGGATCCCAAATTCTAAGCTAACAGAGAGATGTTCTTTCTTCTGATTTGGGCTGACTGGCACACAGAGGAGGCTGTCAATGAAGTGAAGCGCCAGGCGATGACCGAGCTGCAGAAGGCCGTGTCCGAGGCCGAGCGGAAAGCCCACGACATGATCACAACAGAGCGAGCCAAGATGGAGCGCACGGTCGCTGAGGCCAAGCGACAGGCGGCAGAGGATGCACTCGCAGTTATCAATCAGCAGGAGGATTCAAGTGAGGTAAGGAGTTCGCTAGAGCTTCCACATTGAAGACAACAGTGTTCACACATTCTCTTTTGGTTCATAAATAGAAGCAGATATTAGACATGTTTTATACCCCAACATTTTTTTGAACAATTTTTTTGAAATAGTTTGGGGAGTTGAAATTGACTAAGAGCTGATCCAATTATGTTTTTAAGTAAAGATTTAAAGGAAAAACTTGAAAAAAAAATGGTTTTTAATATGTGGTGGATAACAGGTTAAAGTGAAATTCTTATAATTTCACTCTAGAGACTTTAAACCATGATATGTGTGTTTGTGTGCACAATGTCTTGTGTTGGTACCTCAGTGCTAGCATATATATGTATGGTTTCCAACCTAAAGGAACGGATTTCATAGAGATAATTTGTGTCAATTGCGGCCTCCAAATCCATATTGCATACCTAGAATTGAACCATAGGTTCTAAGTTCTAATGCCAAAGCAGTGTTTGCTTCAATGAAACATTTCTACAAGGTGTTGTGTATAGTATTTATTTCCATGTTATTTTCATGGTCATGTCATAGCTTAACATTGCTGCCAGAGAGAGTATTTAGTATTACTGTGGGATAAACATATGCACACACACAGCTTAAGTGGCTCTTTTACAAGGATCTGGGAAGTCACTAAAATGTGATGTATATAAGAGAATTGCATGCTAACATATAGCTTATAAATGCGGAGCCATGCAGTAATGATCCATATTAATTAAGACAGCGTCAGAATCTCTTAACGCCAAAGTAACTTTCAATAAAGCACTCCATTAGAGTCACATCAAGCTGACCTAGCAAAAGCATGAGCTGATAAATCAATGGTCTACTAGAATACATATCTATAATTTGTGTGTGAGAGTAAGGATTTAATTTGAACCAGGCTTCCCTGTAGATGAAAGACCCTGCGGGAATCACTCGATGCCCAGAGTTTCTATTTAATGTGTTACAGATGAATAACAAGGGGACAAAAGGAATTGATTTTCAACATTTGAAAATTTCTAGGAAAACAGGGACAAAGGAAGTTTATCTACCCTTTAACTGCTGACTTTTCTATTGTTGAATTAAACTTTATTGGCATCTTGCAGCTAAGATATATAAGGACCTTGTTTTTTGTTTCTTTAGTTTTAAGAGAACCTGTCTTGCTCTATTCAAGTTGGAAATACGGTGAGGCTCAGTTGTTGTCCTCATTAAAACATTATAACTTTCCATGTGAACATTTTAGGGCTATTAAGTATGTTAAGAGTATTTTGTAGGTCAGTAAATTCTAAAGATAAGTATTCAGGAAGAAACTGAATTTAAGGCTTTGTATCTTTGTATTCTATAAGTAACTTGTTGCATTCCTTTAGTGTTTGTAAGTTTTGTACCTTTATTCTTAAAACCTATGCAGAAAAGTATATGATCTTGATGTCATTGTTTACTATGATCAAAACAGAGTTTATCAAGTTAGAGGGATGATAAGTAATAGATACAATGCAATTATGTATAAATAATCTTTATTTTTTTATTTTTCTTTTCAACTCTTTTGGGGACTTAATCTTTAACATAGTTGATTTGAATACTGTTTTCCATGACATTTTTCCAAGACGTTAAAAATTGACTATGTTAGAGGAAAATGTTTAGAATTCAGAAGGCCACATTTAACTCTTGCACCCATTTCTTTCACCTTGAAGGAGCCACTAAACCGCTAAAAACTTTAGTGTCATCTAGATGTGAGAATTAGTAACAGAGTATCATATAGTCGAAGGCTTAAACATAAGGTTACCATTTTAGGAAATATGATAATTTTACCATTTTTTAAGGTGAGGAAAAACTGAAATGCTTATGAGTTAATTTAACCAGCTGAAGTTACATGGCTAGTAAATGGCAGAATCTAAGCTTGAACTCAGTTTGCTCTCAGGCCTTGTACTGTTATTTCTTTGCATAAGAATAATCATGATAACTTTTTGGATGCTGACAAAGACAGTTTTTGTAACTTGGAGAGGTGTGAGCTATTGAAGAACTCTTTTTCTCAAAAATCAGGCAGATACTTTCCTGGTAATAAAAAAGGAAGGAAGATTTCATTTACTGAATAATGCTGAAATTCCTCTAGATTGGAAAAGAAATTTGTATGCACATATAAAAGCAGTTTGACCAAGAAATATTATGAACTCTTCCTAGAAGCCTTGATGCTCTGGAATAATTTGTGTGCCTGACTCAGCTCAGTACCTTTGCCCAATGGATCACTTGAATTTTTTTTTAAAAAAAGGAGCTCTTTGCTTTTCATTTATGAGAAAGGTGAATTGTTTTTCTGCATCTGACCTTCCCTCACACTGAGTATTGTGCGCCTCTTAATAGGAACAGCCTGAAAACAACCATCTCAACAGTGATGGTGAAATAACATACACCCTTCCCAGACAGAGCCAGAACACCTCTGACATTCTTGGGCTGGAATGTTGTTGTTAGCTGTCATTGACCTGGCTCCCAACTCATGGTGACCCCCTGTACAATGGAACTAATTGCTGTCTAATTTTGCATTGTTCCTATGATTGCTTATGGATTTGATTAAACCATTGTAATCCATAGGGTTTTCATTGACCGATTTTCAGAATTTGCTTTCCAACCCTTTCTTCCTGCTCTGCCGTAGTCTAGAAGGTCTGCTAAGACATGTTCTTTATTATTGTTGTTGTTGTTGTTGTTGTTAAGTGCCATCGAGTCGGGTCCGACCCATAGCGACCCTGTACAGGGTTTCTGAGGGTGTAAATCTTTACAGGAGTAGAAA